GTTAGATACAGGTCAAAGGGCATTTTCTTGCTTTGGAAAGGCAAGGATTGTGTAATGTTCTCTGAGAATCATTTCTCAGGCATTTGGGAGGCTGTATCTTTCCAATTGTACAAGTATGTCAGTTCTTTTCTATTTGAAAGTGTTTACATCCATGCTTTTTTTTTTATCTTTAATACAGAGATTAGCTCCACAATGAGGCAGTCTTTTCATTCTTTTCATTTTCTTGTCATCCCAGAAAGCAAACACAAAACACTTTATTTTAAAATATTCAGTATTTTTAATTACAATGAAGAATTTTAAGTTATGCTTAGTCATTTGCAGTAATCTATTAACAAAGCTATCTAGTTTTTTTGTCTTCAATCTCAACTGATTAATCAGCGTATCATTAACTCACTTGTTTTTATTCAGGAATTTTGCTATTTTGTTATTTCATTAGTTAGAAAACGGAAGTGTAGCAAAGTTCTTCCCTTGGATGGCAGACACTTTAATCTGTTTTGAAGACCCTATGTTTGTGCTTGAGCTCAATTTCCAACACTATCATTTAATGTTCTCTGAAGAATTGCCTAGTTCACTGGAGACTTGCCCACTCTCCGAAACACTGCCTAATGCCACCTTTTGGCCCACCATCTCTGCCTGCTCTGAAATTCAATTTCCAGATTAATCTTCCTAAAAATCAACTCCAATCAAGCCATTTCCTTTCTCTGAAACAAATTTTCACAGTCTATTGCCTAGTGATATAATTACAAACTTCTCTCTTGGCAGTTCCATCCCACCACATCAGTAGGTCTGACTCATTTTACTCGTTCCCTACAGTTCACAAAGAAATGCGTTCCTAGCAGTAATGCCTCACATTTGCCCTGTTATAATATTCAAGAAATAAAGCATAGATAAGCAGTTCTGAATCATTCTTCAGCGAGTTTATCCTCTTTGCCCATTACGAATCCACCTCTACAGTCTACCAATGGGTTTTGGTTTATTGTCCCCTGATATTCATAATCTTTCCCAACTTTCCTATTCCAACTATGAGAAAGTCTTACCCACTCACTGTCCCAAGGAAAGAGGCAATATGTAGGTGGTTGTTATATCATTGGAGACGGTCATTGTTATTTTTCCCAAGTCACAGAAGGCATGATTTGGTCTTCCAAACTTGATGTGATTAAATGTGGATCTTTTATTAAATATATTTTTTCTATACTCTGTTAATGGTAAAGTTTAAGGGAGAACTTCTGTCCTGTCCTCAGTCTCTGCCTTTCTTACTGGAAGGGCATTGTCTGCTGGAAGGAGAATATATTCCTCAAATTTGTAAAAAAGTCGGTATGACAAATCATTGATTTTTTCTTCTCTCATTGCTCCTCTACATAAGTTGTACTCTCCAAATGAAAAATAGTAATTTCTTGCACACAACCTTCTGATTTTTCACTCAATTCCTCACTTATTCTGCTTTCTTGGTAGACGTGCACTCAACTTGGCCTTTACATTTGTGTCTTGACACACTATATTGCTAATTTTAAAAAATGATGAACATTTCATTGCTTTTCTGAGACCCAATAATTTGTTTTGCTTCCTCTTAGCTGTCCTTCTGTGGGCCAGTTGCTCATCTTCCCTAGTGAATTAACAGATTTCTGAAAATAGGCAATGTCAACAACCCTTCTAACATTAGCTAATGTTTCATATATTGCAGATACTTAACAAGTGCATGTTGGATTAACATAATTACTTACTTTCACATGAGTATACGCAGACAACATAAATCATTGGGTACACACAGCCTAACTCATCAGTTTGCAGTTGATATGAGTCAGAAGTTGGGATTTTTTTTAAGCCTTTTTTTGTTCTAGGGTTTTCAGAGATTGAGTAGTCAGCAACATTTTCAGGAATTTCCAAATCTTGACCCAAACTTCACCTTTGTTTCCTGTGTATTTTACAATTTATCACTTTTCTCATGGCCTAAAAAAATAAGTCCTGCTATCTCTAAAGCTTTGTTTCCCTCCCTGTAATATTGAATGCAGCAGCTACTTCATCAAATGAGTATGAAAATTACAGGATGTTAAGTGAGATAATCTACTTCTTTTTTTAAAAAAGTTCTTTATTTGCTTAGATGTCAAGAGTTACACAGGGGTAGAGATGGAGGACATGATCTGATGTGCTGGCTGACTGGACATGTGGCATAACTGTGGCCCACCCCGGGAACCAGGGCCTTCATCTCAGTCTCCAACACAGGTGGCAGGGGCCCAAATGCTTGCATCAACCTCTGCTGTTTTTTCTCAACCCATAGCAGAGAGCTGATTCAAAATGAAGCAGCGAAGACACACACTAGCTCCCTTATGGAATGCCAAAATTGCAGGCAACATTGCTGTTACTCAGTCCTGAGTGATTGTGCCACATTTCCATCTACAGCCACTTATTTCCTTATACATTTTTTATTGTTATTGTAATTGTTTCCCATAGATCCAGGAATTCTCGCCTCCACCCCCTCTATCATCCTTGTCACTCTCCCCATATTTACTACAATAGTATAGTCCTTCAGGAGCAGTCACAAACTCAACATTCTGCTATTTGAGTGCTTCATGGCATTGTAGGTATTTGCAATGGTGGAAAACCTAATATCATATTATCAAGGTATAGTTAACAGTTTCATTGGGAGTCCTCCTTTAGTTGGGCATAGAGATACATGCTGCAACATAGCTTCACTTCCTGGTATTTCCTGATAATTTTGCTTCCTTGTTTTCAATTTGAATTTCTTTAATTTCTTTTTCTTGCCTAATAGCTTTAGCATTTCTTACTATTTGAGTCCCTTCTTGTCATTTTAAGTTTTTTCTTTGTTTGTTGATAACATCTTCACTTCTTACCTAATATCACCAAAATTTAGCTAAACCTTTTGTATTTTTCTCGCAAAGATTAACAAGAAAATGATAAGTTTTTAACGTCCCTTGCTCTTGTTTCTAAAATATTAATTATTGCCTGTAATAGCACTTAACCATGTTAGTGTCTTCCACTTGTCATAGTTGAGCATGGTTCTTTTAGCTGAAGGAGTTCCAGAGTGGGCTAGGCACTGAGCGGACACCCTTATAACACAGCTGTGAGAAAGGTCCACTCGGGACAGACATGCCTACACTATAAATTTATGAACATAAAGAAAGCTGTGACTCTGGCAAGCTGTAACTTTTTTGTAAAAAGAAAAAAAAAAAGTAGTACCGGGATAGGGCATTTTCATATGCTAAGACTTTGCCAAAAGCAATATGGAGAGGTAAAATAAAATTCAGAAGGCACAGTGTGGTAGGTTGGAGTTGGAGTTCTTCCATGATTTTCTATAAGACACCTGATGTCATCTTACTGAATAGCATCCTATCCCATCAATACCCCAGTTGAGACCATGATTTTAGAAAAAAACTGTACTTTGAGACTCAGTAGGGTTGAGGCTACCATTAGAGAATAAATTGACCCCCGCTGTCAAGGTGAGAATGCTGCTGAGGCTGGAGCAGGCCAGACACGGGAAGCAGACGTCTTTCTCAGTGTATTCATCCACACATCTTATATCTATTTAATTAAACAAAGGTAGAAAATGAGTTTGAATCAATGACAGTCTGCAGAAATAAGTAACTTTCAAGGAGATAAGGTTGCCTAGTGACATAGTGAACTTTTTGCAGGAAGCGCCAGAGCTACAGTGCTTTGGAAAAGGGTCCTACCTTAACTCTTGCATAAGCATATTTTATAAATTTGCTGTTTAAATTATATACACAAACATATATGTATGTATAATGCTAGAGAGTTCTAATATTTCAGTAGACTAACATTTCTTTAAAAATGGCTTAGCAAACATTTTCACTTGAACTTCAATATTATTGAGATGTAAACGCCAATATCAGTGGTTTAAAACTTGGTGCTAATGAGGTCAAGACCACACACTATATCATTGTATCTGTCAGTGACCTCTCTGTATTGTGTGGTCACAGTGCTCTGAATTGCCAGTCCTGGTCATGAGCATTGTCAGGGGAGAGGGTGAGTACAAAGCTTCCCAAGATCTGCACACACTGGGAAATGCCTCTGTTTGCATCAGTTGTGCTCCATCCTTAGTAGCATCGTCTTTCTTTCTTAAAGGTATCTTAAAATTTTAGAGCCGGTATTGCTAACAGGATTGTTATGCTGGTTATTTATTCAGTATTTCAAGTTTCTGCTGTGTGATAGGTTACTTGACTAGATGTGAATTTTACTTCTTTTGAATGACATTTTTTTGCATGTGTATTTATATCCCACTCCTTAAACCGAATAATATTATATGAATTCATAGAACAGCATCTATCCACTTTGGGGAGAAAAATAGTCATTCACTTCATGAGCCATGTGAATTCTACAAACTTCTCATTCCAATTTGAATTGGCCTTTTGTTCTCGATTAAAATGTATTTTCAATTAAATTAAAGTGTAAACATAGGCAATCTGTGTTTTTGGGTCTACTAGAATTATTTAAATGCCTCTTTAAATCAACCTGCTATTAATATTTCTTTCGGTAACAATTGGAATAGACCGGCAATTTTCCATTTTCAAGGTTGCTTAAAGTGCTGTGAAAACTTAATCACTTTGCAGTTTTTATCAGTTTTTACTCAGTTCTTCTGTAGGAAGCTAAAGTTGGGCTGCTTTTGTGTATAGTTCAAAAGTTATGTCTGTGATACAAGTACTAAAACACCAGAAACCACTGGAATTGAGTTACTCACTGTCTTAGAGAAATGTTTTATTATACAAAATTGGGGCAACCCCTAAGATTATCCTATTTAATAGCTTATTATAAAATTAAAATTTTTGAGGCATACTTCAAAAAAACACTTACCTTAATTTTTAATTTTACATTAGAAAAATAAAATACTTATTGAAATTTATATCAAATGCTAAAGATCTAATTTTGAACTTTGGCTTCACTTCTGCCCTATTGCTTCTCAAGCAGTTCAGCTCAACTAATTTGAAAGTAATGCTTAACAAACTCATCTTTTCTACTTTTGTTTTCAGTGATCTCAGTGAAAATCAGATTCAGGCAATTCCCAGGAAGGCTTTCCGTGGAGCAGTTGACATCAAAAACTTGTAAGTTTCTCATTAATTTATGTGCTTTTAAAGTTGCTCTCTGGTTTTAATATAAAAGTAATATTTAAAGGGCATCAGAACAATGATGGAAGCCGTGTTGGCTTGTCTGCTTTCTTAGAGACATTTTGAAAGAGTAGTTTTAAACTGTTTTCACAAGCTGTTTGAAGAGGTTTGCATTTAGAAGGTATCTGAAAAGTAAAGTCATTAACAAATTTATTCCTTAAGCCTTGAGATTAATCTTGAAATATAAAGAAATGGTTTTATTGAAATGTTTTTACATTGTATTTGCTTTCCAATTTCGACCAATTGCATTAGCAGTTCTCTCTTCAGTTGTTAATAATAATTACTAGAAATTCTGAATATCAAGGTTTCTTTTCTATGGAAAGAGTAAATTATATTTCCTGTTATAAATAGCCTAAAACTTCACTTTTGTTGAGTTTTTAAATCATTTTTATAAAATGCCAGAAGTTTTAAAATGAGAAATTGTGTCATTTACTTTATGTGAATATTTTCTTATATGTTTTATTTCCCCACATCTTCATGAAAATATATTCGTAAGAAGAAAAAAGGGGCAAAATATTATCTCTTTGTTTTCCTTTAAACTCTGGTGTTAACATTTTGTTTGTTTCCTTGTTTTGTTTTTTAGGCATTATAGCTCTTAATGTGTTTGATTTAGGACCCCAATGGCAGTGCTAATTTTGTCACACACAGATTTATTCATTTTAAAATACTTTATTTATCTTTTTGAAAAGATGTGTTTTGATTGACTGTGTGAGTTAAGACATAAAATGTTTTTCTCAGCTTTTGTATTACTTTGAAATGTAAAAGGGAAAGAGCACATTGATGCAGAGATTAAATATGAGAAATGCTATATTTCTTTCTTGGTAATAAATGGGGACTCTTTCAACAGTTACATTTTATTCAGGATTTGCCTTGGTGAGATCCAGTGCAGATGCCTTTCCTTGCCAAGGAAGAGAGCTATTTGCAAAGCTACAGATTCCAGCCTCCACATCTCATCCTTGGTGTAAATGGATCCTTTTAAAACCTGTGTTCTCAAAATATGCAGGTAATGACAAAAATGCAGGATTCTGGCTATACATGGGTACAGCCATTAAAATCCTAAGTATAGATCTTGATGAGCACTCAGGTTAAAAGGAGTTCATTTGCTCTCTTTATCTTGGCTGGACTGCACTTGGAGAACCGTTCAGGTACATTCAGGGCTGCAGAGTGGTCAGAGCTCCTGGGCTCCTGGGCCGCCACCACGGAGCAGCAGCTCCTCCTCACCGTGTCTTCTGTCCCTGTCAAAGTGCAGGCACAGCCACAGATGACCATCTAGGCGAGTGCTATAGACAACTTGGCAAGGGCACCACCTCTAGATTACTAAAACAGGTAGCTTTTAATCTCCTCAATAGAGATAAAGAATTCAAATTTATAAGTAGTCCTTCCCTCTATGTAGCCCTTCTCCAACACCTGATGACATATATGGGAATCAGAGTCAGTTACAGTGAGATTTTTGTGCTTGAACGTCATGATGAAATGTTACTAAAAGTGTTATAAAAATTCAGTGTATGTTTAGCAGAGCTTAAGACATTTCTTAGCGTTGAGGTGAGCTTTTTGATTAGAATCTCAAAATACTTTGTTGTGTTTGCTTTGTAAACCATGAGCAAGTCAGTCAGCTTCATGCAGACTTTGTTATCAGTTTTATAGTTCTTGTGGTTATTAAAGAAGATATATGAGAAAGTTTGAAATACTAAATTTCTTTGAAAATACAGTGCAGTATTTCATCCATGAAGTAATCAATTGCTACAAATTGGCCCTAAGAAATGCACAGTAACGAAATGGGAAAATATAAAATGAGATAATTAGGACAATTAGAAGTGAATCAGATTGCTTTATTTTGGATCAGTTAGAAATAAAACTACAACATGGGATAAGAAAATTCCCCGGGAGCTATTAAATACTTACAGACCTGGCTGAAGATGTTGGCTTTGGCCTGGTCAAGCCCTAATTGTTGTGGCCATTTGGGGAGTGGCCAGCTCAAATGGTGTCTCTATCTCACTCACACACACACCAACATGCCCATACAAAGTTTCTCTTAGTCTCTTGGTTTAAGCTTTTAATAAATAAATCTCAAAGAAAATGCATGTACACAAAGTCCTGATCTGTAAACCAGGCACTGGTTACCATGAGAGGGTGAGGCGAGAGAAGAGGGTGTTGTCTCAAGTTGTCAGGGAATGTCTGTGGAAATTTCCTAAACCGGACCTGAAGGACTACGGGAGACCCAGTCTCTCATCCTCTGTTAGGTCCAGGGCTGAAGTTTTGTTTGGGAAGGAAGATTGAAAGAACACCTCAGCGAGCACGTACACAGCAGGAGTGTGGAGGTTGCAAGGTGTTTTAGGGAACTGAAAACGCCCATGTGTGGGAGGCAGGGTCAGTTGGAAAGGCAGCAGTGGGGAGGGGCCTGGCAAGCTGAGCGTGGGAGAAGCCGAGCGGTGGCGACCGGAGGCCTTCGGCACTGTGCAGGACAGGTGTAAGAGAGCTTCTGGATACCAAGGGATGACAGAGCAACAGCTCATCCGTGCTGTTCTCACTGCCTTCCATGGTAAAAATGCAGAAAACGAAGCGGGCAACATTGAAATATCACAATATGTTTATGGATCTATACTCTTAATGAAGATCATTACTAAAATATCACAGGATTTCATGACTAAAAATCCTTTTCTGTAATTAAAAAGGTTCATGTATGTATGATAAAATCAAAGTGATGTAAGGTATCTAATAAAATTGAGAATACATCTTAATTTAGATCATTAGCATTAAATTAATTGCCATAGTTGGCAAGTAATGATTCAATAAAAAGGTACTGATACTAATATTATTATTAGTAATATTTAGAGAGAGACAGAGGACCCGTCACTTTGTCCTGTTTATCAGACCAGTACGTGGTGAACAATGCTGCATATTGCCGTGATGTTATTTAGAGAGTAAAAGAGGAAAAGGAAGCATGGACAGAGGGAAGATGTACTGCAGGTACAAGACACAGTATTTAATGTGGCTGGTATGTATTCCTGGCAGCCGTGCGGGCTTGATCCCATCCAAGCCTGACTCAGAAGCCTCAGGGATCACGGATCTTCACTGGAGGCGCTTGCTTTAATCTTGTGGATTCACTAAGCATGCTCAAGGTGGCCTTCTGACAATAGGAAATTGATCAGATGAGCAGATTTCGTCCCCTTCCTCTTGGGTAAGACACACGAAAAGGCTGCTGGACAGAAAGGCATTTATCTTGTGCTTCAGCCTCTCCAGGGAGGATTTCCTGTAACTTCTCTTTTTTGCTTATCTATTCATTTCTTAACTAGGTTTGGACCTTTTATTTTGTTGTCTTACTCTGTCCAGCTGTGATTTAAAGCATTCTTTCCCTGATGCTTGGAACAGTGGGCAATGAGCAGGCTACATTCAAATACCAACTCTAGTATTTTGTCTGTAATGATCGGAAGCATTTTCCTGTAGGCTTCACATCTGTAATGTTAAATTTTCAAACAAAATATGAACTACACTATTGCTACTAAGCAATCTCTATGGAGAACTCACTTGTTCTACGGTGAGTTTCCTTAGTGAATTGAGTACATATGACTAGTGTCCGGTAAGAATTATTTTAGGTATATTTTGTAAAGGAAACCAAACTTGTTCTTATTTATCTAATTTTCTACTGCATCCTTAAAATGTACTGTGTGTTCCAAAGTTTACTAGTCTCTACTCAGGAAAAATACATACTTTTACTTTTTGCTTTCATTATTCTAATTCCATTAACCTCATTTTTTTAATCTTTCTTCCTTTGTTCACAAAAAATGATTGTTGTTAAAAAATAGTTCAGTAAGTAATTCTGTTTATTCTTTTTACACTTGCATTAAATTGTGGAAAGGGTTTGGGGAAAAAATAAATACGGCCTTGAAAGAAAGACATTATCCCATATGCTTTGCATTGCTTGTTGGCACTGAAATCAGGACAACAGGAAAGGGACTTATCTTCATATTGCTACAGACATTATTCATCTGTATTACGTAGAAGGCTTAGTTTTTGCTAGAACACTGTCATTTTCAAAATTATTATTGTAAGATCAATTAAAACCAATAAAAGGAAAATATCTGTCTATCCTGTGTATATGTAAAGACGGGTATTTCACTGCATTTTATCACGTCTCTGTAATAGAGAGGAGTGTAGGTAAATTTTACCATATAAAGACAGGACTTCATCTGACTTTGTCCAATAACTTTACTCATAATTGTAAAAATTGTACCTTACATAATTTTCAATACGTATCTTCTCGTGAAAATGAATTTTATCAATATGAAATTGAAATTGTAACTGTTAGTTCCCCGAGCCCGTTCCTAGAGTGTTTTCATTAAGCCTGATGCTAAGGAAAGTTTGAAGGGTAGGTGAATTCCTCATTGATGGAGCCAATTCTTTGTAGTCTTGGATTAAATCCCACAGGTTTTTATTGGATACATGGAACCATTTAAGCAAGTATGTATAAATAAGGAATGGGAAGTCCCTTAGCATCCAGGGTGCTGCCTGCAGATTTGAAGTATGAAGAGGAGTTCTATCTTAGGTACATCAAAGTATTAGGAATAACACCACCAACAAAAAGCACTTCCTCTCCCCCCAGACAGTAACAAAACTCAGAAATTCCTGTCAGGTTCCCAAGGAACTGTCCATGGTAGTGTAATGCTCTCGGTTTGCTCTCTGAAAGCTAGTTGGAACTGTAATAATCCCAGCAGTTATGATGATGTTTGTTAGCAATAAGCTGTTGGATCACGCATTTTACTTTGTATGCATAGTGTCTTAAACAGTTTTTCATCAATAATATATTCTGTGCTTAATCAGAAAGTACCTCTGTGGCAAACCAATGGGAATATAAAAGAAAGCTGTCCTTGTCCTACAGCATTTATAGAATTATGGATACTTCCGCGAGGAACGGTCACTTTTATGGAGTCCTGGAACGC